GGCTGGGTTTCAGGGTGCACAATCTAAACGCGGCTGTCTAAGACCCTTAGTACGATAATATCCTTATTTGGAAATATTTTCCTAGAGACAAAGGATCGGGAAGACTTTTGGTAAAGGTTTAGAAGTTCCTCCTTAGAAGTTCCATATCTGCTCACCTACAGACAGATAAGCAGGAATCCCCTGGCGGTTAAACTAGCAGTCTTTCCAAATTTTTACCTTGCTAGAGGAATCGGAGCACAGGTTAGCGCTTGCTTAATGCACAGCAAATGTTTGCAGATTCATCAAGTTTTACTGCTTTGGGGGTACAAAGGGAATTTTTGAGTTTTAGTACTGAGGAAACTTCATCTATCTCACTCAGATGTAGCCCTGCTGACTCACCCAATACTCCAAAACCATCATTCTGGAGTCCAAAGCAATATCAAAGTAGATTTGGCATCTGGATATTGACAAGTTTTCATACGATCTTGGGGTTTAGACCTTGAAGGGTCCTTGGAGGTCATCTAGTCCAATGCCCTCATGTTACAAATGAGGAAACAGGGATCGGAGAGGGAAGTGACTTACTTGTCCAAGGTTAAAAAGGTAATAAGGGGCAAAACTAGAATTTAAACTCAGGACTTCAGCCTCCAAATTTTAATACTAGCAGCCGTTATCCCATGTGGATTCTCTAGAGTCAAGAACCTACCCCAATTTGAAAAAACAACTCTATGTAGAGCATTCGTGAATTGGGAAAGATACTTTTTACTTTGTTCCTTATCATTCAAAGTGAACTGGAAATACTTGTGACTTACTCTTCCAACAAACTCATGCTGGAGAATCTCCTCACAGGTGACTTTGTCCACGATCAGACACTATTCTACTGTTGGATGAAGGAGGTGTGGTTAGAAAGATATTTGAAAGGCTGTCAACAGTGGGAGAAGTACTCTAAGACTGCAGCAGGATAAGTATTGTCACAATTTTCAAAAAAGGAAGTGATTAGAGTATGCAAGCTATAGGCCAAGTGAATTTTACTTTGATTCCTGGAAAAAATAGTAGCAAATGTTAAAGTGATCATGTGTAAACATTTAGAAAAAGGTACACCGATCACAAAGAACCATCATTGTTTCATACCAAGAGCAGGTCATTGGAGAAAAACCTTGTAATATCACAAAATATCAAAAAGGAGAGAATGGCCAGGAGGAGAAAGAGGTCAGCGGTGTCAAATGCAGTAGATGAGGCTCGAGAAAAGGCTCTTTGATCTGGCAATTAAGAGACTTTATGACGAGATCCCTGGTAATTTTGGAGAGAGCAGTTACAGTTGAATGATGGCTCAGTTGCAAAATATTTATAAGAATGGGAGAAGAGGAAGTGGAGGCACTTGTGTGTAGATGGCCTTTCAAAGAGTTTAGCAGAGAAGGGAAGGAGAGTTATGAGATGTAGGACGATAGCTAATATAATAATATATAATAAATATATGGAAAAAATTAAAATAATATGAAAAATATAATAAAAATAAAATATATAATAAAATGTATAATTATATATATGTATATGTATATGGGTACTAAGGTCAAATAAGAGTTCTTATGAATGGGGGAGATGAAGACAAGTCCAAAAGACTCATGATGGAAAATGCTATCTACCTCCAGAGAAAGAGCTGATGGAGTCTGAATGCAGATAGATCATGCATACTATTTTCACTTTCTTTATTTTTTTCATGGTTTTATTCTTTTCTTCTGTTTCTTCTTTCACAACATGACTAATGTGGAAATATGTTTGACATGATTACACATATATGACCTATATCAAATTGTTTGTCATCTTAGGGAGGGGCAGGGGAAGGAGAAAATTTGGAACTCAAAATTTTATATAAAAAAGCGAATGTTGAAATTGTCTTTACATGTAATTTAAAAAAATAAAATATTATTTGAAAAAAAAAGAATGGGGGAGACTTGGACTTGTCTGTAAGCAGCCAGTAGATAAGGAGAGGCTATTAGAGAGAGTGGAAATGTTAGATGGAATAATATGCTGGAGAAGACAAGAGGGGGTGCGATCAAAGGAGCATGTAGAAGGGTCAGCCTTGGCAATGGCCAGTAAAAGGTCATGTCTTCATCAGAGGATCAGAGTAAAGGGGGAAACAGTGAGTGTCGAGGTTGTGAAGGCAAGAAAAAAAGAGAGTAAAGGAAATTTACAATGAATAGCCTCCATTTGTAAATGTAGCATCAATAGAGATCCTCAGTTGAGAGGGTGAAAGAAAGCTTGAGACGAAAAGGTTTAGAAAAGGCTGGGGTGAGTGAGTGAGATAATCTGTTGGGGTGAATTTGAAGGATTTCCATACTGCATTGAGGACCCAGTTGAGACTAGATAATATAAATGTGTAGGAAACCCAGTATTAGTGAACCCATCAGTGCACTTGTGGGAGCCCCCCCCCGCCCATATCCATTCAGCATCAGTGGAAGCAAAGAAGATGGATGGTGGGGGTGATCTAGAGTTGAGGTTTGGCCAGATGAGTGGTGATAGGCCTAGGGACCAATGGATTTTAGAGCAAAGATAATGTAGCATTGAACTGATTCACCAAAGAGCTGAGACTTAGCTAACATTTCTATAGTCCTTATGGTTTGCAAAGTATTTTACAAACATTAGCTCATTTGAGGTAATTAACTTACAACAACCCCAAGACTTGTCCATGGAGTTTTCTTGGCAAAGATGCTGGAGTAGTTTGCCATTTCCTTCTCCAGTATGTCCCCATTTTACAGATGAGGAACTGAGACAAATAGGGGTGAAGTGATTTGTCCAGGATCACACAGCTAGTATGTGTCTGAGGTCAGATTTGAATTCAGATCTTCCTGACTCCAGGCTTGGTGCTCTATCCTCTGCACCATCTAACTGCTCCAGGAGTGAAGTCATGGTAATTGAACTGAGAAATGGCAGTATTTGAGGGAACATCGATACATATTTTGAAGTCCTCTTGTATGAAGGCAAGAGTTGTGGTAGAGAGAGAGAGAGACTGTGAGTCACTGAGAAAGGAAGGAGAATAACCAGGAGGTCAATATTAGCTAATGGCCACCAAGATCTTGATTGAATGCTAAATTTGGATAAAGTAAATCTCAAGGAGGAAAGAGTCTAGAATTAGCAACTGGGAGCAAGTTGGAATTATGCAATTGGGAATTATGAAAGAGTACAACCAACACTAGAAAGGATGGCTAGAGATCCAGTGACTTCCAAGGGGAGCAGGGTTGAGAGAAAGGAAGGAAGGGAGAATGGGTGAGAGAGAAGCAGCATTGTTAAAGCACCTCTTATGTGCCATGCACTGTGCTAAGCACTTTATAAATGTCTCATTTAATCATCACAACAATTGTGGGAGGAAGGTGCTATTATCCCAAAGAAGGAAACTGAGGCAGAGACTAAGTGACTTGCCCAGGATCACACAGCTCACACAACTCAGATCTTCCTGACATTAAACCCAGTGCCCTATATCCACTGCCCCACCTAGCTGCCCCCTAGTCAATTTCAGCATTGAAAGGGATTTCAGAATCCACCTAGTCTAACCTATACCCAAATAAGAATCCCCTCTATAATATAACCAATAATTAGTCATATAGATTTTTCTTATAGATCACTAGAAAAGGGTAGTGGAGGGCCATTGAGGATTACTACCTCCTGAGGAAACACTCTGTTTTTGGATAACTCTCATTGCTTAGAAGTTTTTCCTTATATTGAGTTTCTATTTTTTTTGCAGCTTTGCATTTTTTGTACCAATGCTGTTCCTAGTTCTGCTTTCTAAGGGGGCTACAACCAAATAACCCAGAGGGCAACAGAAAAATTCAAGCTGGGCGTTAATAGGCTATAACAAGTCACCAACAGCAATGTGTGCAAGAAGTGCCGAGAAAGACATTATTGAAGATGTGTATGACCAGTCGGTAAAGGAGGTGAGCCTATCCCACACTGAAAGTGAGAGATGCTTGGACCCAGCAATAGCACTCCTAGGGCTATATCACAGAGAGAGCATACAAATGGGAAAAGGACCCTCATGTACAAAAATATTCACAGCAGCTCTTTTTGTGGTGGCAAAGAATTGGAAATCGAGAGGATGCCCATCAGTTGGGGAATGGCTGAGCAAGTTGTGGTATACGAATGTAATGGAATACTGTTGTGCTATAAGAAATGACGAACAGGCTGACTTCAGAAAAACCTGGAAAGACTTCTGTGGTCTGATGCTGAGTGAAGTGAGCAGAACCAAGAGAACATTGTATGCAATAACAGCTACGTTGTGTGATGATTAATGTTGATAAACTTAACCCTTCTCAGCAATGCAAGGATCTAAGACCTCTCCAAAGGCCTCGTGATGAAAAATGCTATCCACATCCAAAGAAAGAACTCTGGAGTTTGAATGCAGATCGAAGCATACTATTTGCTATTTTTTTTCTTCTGTTGTGTTTTGTTTCCTTTTTCTGGTGGTTCTTCCTATTGGTTCTAATTCTTACTTACAGCATCATTAATGTGAAAATGTTTAATAGGAATGCATACGTATAACCTATATCAGATTGCACGCTGTCTTGGGGATGGAGGTGGGGAGGGAAGGGGAGAAATTTAAAACTCAAAAGCATATGGAAGTGATTGTTGATAATTCAAAATAAACTAAAAAAAAGAAAATGAGAGATGACAATAAAACAACCTTAGTGATACTTTGGTACACCTAAGATACTTTTCAAAAAAAAAAAAAGAGAAGAGGAAGAAGGAAGAAGAAAAGGAAGAAAGAAGGAAGGAAGAAGAAAGCTTCCATCTCATTGGATGGAAGATTTATGGGAAAATCTGGAAGAGGGGAGACTCATACTTAAGAAATCATAGTTCTTTCTGAAGTATTGAAAAAGGCCTGGATACTTCTAGGTGGTGCAATGGATGGAGTCATGGGCCAGAAGTCAGGAAGACTCATCTTTCTGAGTTCAAATACAGCCTGAGATTTAATTACTAGATGTGTGACCCTGGGCAAGTCACTTAACTTTGTTTCCTCGTCTATAAAATGAGCTAGAGAAGGAAATGGCAAGCCACTCCAGTATCTCTGCCAAGAAAACCCCAAATGGGGTCATGAACACACCTGAACAACACTGGGAAGAACTGGGATTAATATATTCTCTAGTGTTTTATTTCAATATTTAAGTGCATCTCATGATAACGATAGCGAACATTTACAAAGCACTTTCAAGTTTGCAAAGTGCTTTACAGATATCACATTTGTTAATCTATGATCTAACTTTACACAGATTTGTGATTCTGAAATGACCCCTATATCAGTAATCAGCCTTATCTTGTTCATTAAGATATGCACAATCTCATTTTTTGGAGATGTGATTTGGTGCTTATTTCATAAAAAAAGTCCCATCCTCTTTTTTTGTATGTTAATATTCTTTCAGTGGTGGTGTTTTGCTGTCAGTCATGCAATGCTATAGTTTCTGAAGAACTGAAAATGATTATCATCTGGAGAGTATTGGCAAGGACATGATAGGAGTGAGTAGACTTCAGCACATTACAAACATGGAGTTATTAAGAAGTGGAAATAAGGATGTCATCAAAGAATCATTTGAGTGAAAAAGATGGGATCCATCTTCCCAGCCTCCTCCCAAATATGCCATCTACATTCTGTCCTTCTTCCCACCAGAACTTGGACTACACCCCCTGGGACCTTGGGCTCCAATAGGTGAGACTTCCCTTTATCTTGACCAGGATCAGATCACCACTCCACTTTCTGGCCACCTCCAAACCATGCCATTGGGCATATTTTCCATGGTCTCCCCACTCTCCTTCCAACTCAGCTCCCCGATATGTATTTTCTTCCCCTATTAGAATGTAAGTTCTTTGAGGTCAGGGACTGTTTTGCTTGTTTGTACTTGTATTCTGAGGACTTAATGTTTTACATTCCTTCCCTCATTCCTTCCTTCATTCATGACAAGATTGAGAGATAAACTAATGGACAACCTATGTGCTTCCATTGGTATCCTCTTGATGTTAAAAGAAAGGAAGGCACTCCTAAATGTATTTTCTTCCACTATTGCTAAAAGAAAGAAAGGAAGGCACCCCTAAATGTATTTTCTTCCACTATTGCTTCCACCATACTCTCTGTACTTTCTCCTATTCCTCTTCCCATAAAAACTTGGAATCCAAACTCTGGGATTCTGAACTTTGATAGCTGAGAGCTCACCTTGTGTTGTCTAGAACCTGACACCACTCCATTTCCCAGCCACCTCCAAACTGTGCCACTGGGCACATAATGTCCACTATGTGTCCCCTCACCTTGAAACTCAGCTCTCTCTGTATATTTTGTCTTCCCCTTTTAGAATGTAAACTTCTTGAGACCAGGGACTGCTTTGCCTGCTTGTATTTTATCCCCAGCACTTAAAATGTCCTTCCTTCCTTTCTTTATTCTTTCTTTCCTTCCTTCCTCCCTCCCTCTCCCTCCCTCCTCTCTCTCTCTCTCTCTCTCTCTCTCTCTCTCTCTCTCTCTCTCTCTCTCTCTCTCTCTCTTTCTTCCTTTCTCTTTCCTTCATTCATTCAGATAAGAGTGAGGGATAATCAGTGGGACAACCTCTGTGCCCCAATGGTATCTTCTTGATATTAAGAAGTCACTCAATACAATGGGTGTACCCCAGTGATGAACTTATGAGAGGACATGGACAAGAGTCACATAGATGGGCAGTCACCTATGGGATGTGATCTGAATCCATTATGGGAAAACCCGTACCAATGAGATCACAGATTATTTGAGTTTGGTGTTTGCCTTGCAATTCTCATCTTGAAGAAAGCCCACATCATGTACAAATGTGAAGCTTCTGTGGTATCTAAAAACATAAACAGTGATGACAACAACAAAAACCCCACAGTCTCCTTCATTTCTTAATCTCCAAACCACATTTTTCAAAATATTTCAATGCAGTCCAATTTGATAAATAGTTATTCTGTGCCAGGCACTATACTAAGCTCTGAAGATTCAGAAACAAAACCAAAATAGTCCCTGCCCTCAAGGGGCTTACATTCTATCTTTTCACTTACCTCACCTATTCACATTGGAGATCCTGAGAATCATTCAGAGTATAAATGGAGTCACATATAGGGAGTTGTGTTCTAAAGTTATCACACCAGACAAAAATTAGGTTTAATCACAACTACCATTGAAAACCCTTAAATCACACATAAAATACAGTACAAATTCTATAACAATTGGAGCTGGAGAATGCCTTAAAAGGAAACAGTCTGTATCAGATGGATATGAAATGGTTGCTGTAGAAACAATTGAATATATATATATATATATTTTTTTTTATGACACCCAGCTAAGCTATTATCAAAGGAGAATCAGGAACTAAGATCTATACTCAAATGGAAGTAAATAAAAACAGGGAAAGACTTAATTGGCAGAAAAACTGATGATTAGAGATAAAAACAGTCCTGAAAAGACTTGAAAGATAATATATTACAGGGTGATCACGCCAACACATAATGTTCTTCTTTCTGTTTCCCCCTGGGGCAAGAGAGAACATAAGAAAGTCAAATGGAGCACAGCAGGGCTTCCACCTCCCCAGCAAAGTCCAGAGAGCCAGATGAAGCAGTTTCCCTCTTAGCTCTACCACCCTAAGCAGAATGCATATAAGCTGGATGTGCCTGTGAGGAGGAAGCAATTCTAGAATCACATCTAGCCTGGTGAGAAGCTCGACCTATATGAAAGACCTAAGGGAACTGAGACTCACTGAGGGAATAGCAGATTAACATTTTCTGTCTTCACTCATTCATTCATTCATCCATTGAATGAAATAACTAGCAGAACTTCACTATTTAAATTGTGGTTTTGGGGTTTTGGTTGTTGTTGTTGTTGTTAAATTTGAGTACTTAAACAGGAGTATGCTGTGACTAGATTGCAGCAGTTTGCTGGTAAATATTTAACAACCAGGTGTCCCGACCCCCCAAAAATGTATATAAGACATACTTTTAAGTTTAATCTGTATTATTAACATTCTCTCCACCACTCTCTGAAGTCTAGACAATTAACAAAACAATAAATCAAGCCCTAATATGTAATTCTGAGGGTGTAAATGCTCACACTGGAATTTTTAATAATTAGTTCTCAGGAGCCTGGTACAAAGTGGCTCTGGCATTCCCCTGCTCCATTATACATTAATTTTGTAGGGACCTTGTGAAGTTTTCCATGGAATTTCTCTAGGACTTCATTTTCTAAAGTAGATGCCAAAAAATAAACTACCTCATCCAAGAGATGAGCCTAAAACAAAACGTTCAACACATGAAAGATAACTTTATTAGCAATCAGGGCAGGTGGGTGGTACAGTGGATAGAATGCTTGGCTTGGACTAAGAAAGACCCGAGTTCAAATCTGGCCTCAGACACTGATTAGCTATGTGACCTTGGGCAAGTCACTTCATTTTGTTTGCCTCAGTTTCTTTATCTGTAAAATGAGCTGCAGAAGGAAATGGCAAATCACTCCATTATCTATGCCAAGAAAACCCTAAATGGAGTCATGAAGAGTCAGATGGGTCTGAAACAACCAAATAATTGCTATTATCAATCATCCCACAGTATCTTGGATGAGACAAAAAAACTGGCTTTGGATGTGAATTCACCAGACAATGATTATTCCGGGAGTCTGACCTGATCTCTCTTCATACCTGGCGTTTGAGAAAGAACACACTGATGCCACTGCTTCTGTCATCACAGGATCCTTGAAGGTGAGAGACCCAGTCAAATTGAATTCCCCCTTCCCATGTTTAACAAATTGCCTCCTTCTCTCCTAATCCCTGTGATTTAGAGTCACATGCTGCCTAGGCAAAAACTCTCTTCCCCTGCTGCTACTCTTTCCTACCTGAGTCTCTGTCTTGCTCTACCTTCTTTGCCTTGTGCCCTCTGAAAACTCATTCTATTGTTAATAAACTTCCCTTTGTCTTATTCCTCTTCTATTTGTATACTTTGCATCTTTCTGTGCTAATAGCTCCTGCTTCCTCCCAGAAGCTGCTGTTTCCCTAGCCACCTTTTCGAGTACGTGGAGCACCTTCTCTCAGTGTGATAGCTTGGAAGAAGCAGCACTGGTTCTGAAGTTAGAGGGCCTCAGTTCAAATCCTGCTTCTGACATGCCTGTTTGACTTTGGGGCAAGTCACAGCCTCCCTTGGCCTCTTATCTATAAAATGAAGGGGTTGGACAATATAGCATCTGAGGTCCTTTCCAACTCTGGATCTCTGGTTCTGTGAACACATCTCCTGACTCAATGGGTTAAGATGAAGAATGGACATACTACCACCAGGGGTGTGCTAGAGCTAGCTGGGTTTGTGAGTGCCTATTGTTAAAATTTCAGTGTGAGCATTTACAACTCAAAGATCAGCAAACCCTACAAATAAGGGTTTGATTTATTATTTTGTTGGTCTTCTAGACTAAAGAAAGTGATGGAGAAAATTATAACAATGCAGATTACACTTAAAAGTACATTTCCCCCCAAAGAACCGATTGTTAACCACTTCTCCCCAAATTCTTCCCTTACACTCCTAGATCCTTCCTCTGCCTTCCCCATTGAACAATCCTCTCTTCCCTTGAGGTTCATTCTATCATCTACTCTAAATCACGCTATCCAAATCCTGATTGCTAGTACCAACTTCTGGGATCTTCTCTTTCCTGTTTCGAGATGTTACTACCTAGCCATAGCCTTCCTCTCCACTCCAACCTTTGTCTCTTACCTGGAAATTTCGAGATATATGCTGATGTTCCCTGAGATACCCTGGCTTTCCACTTCCTTTACTTTCATTATCTGCCATCGTTGAGGGGAGAAATTCTTTGGAAGAAAGGGCCCACCTTCCTCACCACCAACAGCAACAGTTGCTTCTCAGTTACCACCGTCAGGCAGATAAGCAAGGAGCTCTGGAAGTGGCAGCACCTCCAGACCATTTTTTTCCCCCAGCCCAGCCTTCATATGTATCATCCAAGGAAACAAACTCCTATGGAGAAGGAGCCAGCTATCCCCACCAATTGCCAATTAAATGCCACACACAGGACACAAAATCCAGCCTAGATGATGCAGCAAGTCACCCTGAAGGACTTGATAGGAGGAAGTATGTGCCAAACAAATCAAACCATCATCACCACCTTGACCAACATCTCCCCTCTGACCCTGATGGAGACAGCCCAGGACCCTGAACCGAAGAGCCTTGGGAATAACAATGTCCAGTGCCTGCCACCATCATCTTGGGAAGCAACCCTAATAGAGATATTGACGGATAATTGATCCTGCAGGTGCTGAAGTCACAGGTACTGAAGACTCAGAAAAGAAAGTTCTGGCCACTAAAGTTTAGCACCATCAAATGGTTTAACATCCGAAACGGATATGACTTTATCAGTGGAAATGATGATAAAGAAGAGTCATTAACATCTGCTTTACTGTTATATCATAAGGACTATGAGACTTTTCCATCTGTCTTGCAGCTGTATTCTTCCCTAGGTCATCCCTTCATTGGAATTGAGTGGTTTGAAAGTAGGGACTGTCTTACTTTTCTATTTGTATCCCCAGTGCTTTGTACGTAGTAAGCACTTAATAAATACTTCATTCATTCACTTATGGTCCATCTTTTTTGACACACAGAAAATGTCATACCTTTGGTTTCACCGTAACTCAAAACTGTCTTCTATGATCCAGAACTCTCCTGACCACAATTTTCTATCCTTCCATCTTTCCCTCCCCACCCACTCTTCTAACCCTATTCGTGCTTATCTTCATGAACTCCAGATATCTTCTGTTCATCCAATCAATCATTCCTGGTCTGGTCTCTGTTTTCTCTTTTCACTGTCTTGACCAGCTCAGTATATACACTATCCTCTGCTTTTGAATCTCTTGATAGTTTCTTCTATCACTGTGTGCTCCTTGCAAAAAGCTTCCATTTTTTCCATGCCACTGGAGACAATGGCCAATATGGACACTAGTTAATAACCATGGCAGTTAGGTCCTCTGTGAATTTTTGTTATCTAATCTAAAGTAGGTATAAACTGCTATATGGCAAACCTTTTATTCTTCCGTAATCAGTTCTCTCACATCTCAGAACCATTGTTTCAAACCTTCCCCTCCCTCCTGAAATCTCCATCCTAGCCCTTCTCCCTCTCATCAGAGGATCTCACCTTCTACTTCACGGAGAGGAAAAAAGTCAATGAGCACTCAACACTTTTTGACATTATCTCCCATTTTATCCTTCACTTCCGTCTTCAAAGAGCCAAGAACTAGTCTTTTCTCTTGCCATGGACAAACCCTCAACTTTTGTACTTGATACCCTCCCTTCCCATATTCTCCAGGAGTTTATTCCATCAATCATTAGCTTTTTAATATTCAATTTATCCTAATCTGTTCCTTCCTCTAGCCAACAAATGTGCCGCTTTCTCTGTTTTCTAAACAGGATCGGGTGTTGCATTTTGTCAAAAGTGTTTTCTTTTTCCTGAATCTAGCGATTATAATCATAGGATTTTAGCCTGGACTCAGGAAGATCAGAGTTTCAAATGCAGTCTCAAACACTTTTCAGCTGTGTGACCCCAGGCAAGTCACTTGACTACTTCCTGCCTCAGTTTCCACATCTGTAGAATGGGGGAAATAATAGCACTTACCTTCCAGGGCTGTTGTTTGGATCGAATGAAATAATATTTGTAAAGTGTTTTGCAAACCTTAAAGGCTTCTTCTTATTACTATTATTAATATGGTCTATTATGAATATAGTTTTCCTAATATTGAACCAACTTTGCATTTCTGTCATAAATCCAACCTAGTCATCCATCCTTAAAAAACAAACAAACAAAAAACTCTTCACTTGACCCTTCCACCTCTTGTCAGGCTTTTCTTGTTGTAGATTGCACCATTTCACAGTCAAACTTCTAGTAAAAGCTGCCTAAAGCCACTACCCTTCGTTTCCTCCCCTCCAAATCTCTTCTCAGTATTTTGCAGTCTGGCTTCCAACCCCATCACTGCTCTCTCCAAAGTAACCATTGATCTCTTAAATGCTAAATCCAATAGTCTTTGGTCAGTCTGCCATCATTCTTGACCTCTCGGTGACATTTAGCACTGTTAGCCACCCTCTCTTCCTCCATACTCTGTTCCTTTTGCTTTCATGACAGATGTTCTCTTTTGGTTCTCCTGTCGGTCTGCTTTTTCCTTCTTGGTCTCTTCTGCTACATCACCATCCATGTCCTGTCCCCTGACTATGGGTATTCCCCAAAGCTCTGTCCTGAGCCCTCTTCACCTCTTTCTCTCTACTCTCTCTAGATGTTCACTGGCATTCTTTCTACACTCTCGTAGATTCAATTATTATCTTTATGCAGATAACCCCTAAATTTATTTATCCAGCCCTATTATTCCCCCTGAGCTCCATCTTCACATCACCAACTTATTGGATATCTCCCGCTAGAAATCATATAGCCATCTCAAACTCAATATGTCTAACATGGAATTAATTTTCTAACTTCCTGAAACCCCTCCACATTTTTTTACTTCTGTGGTGGGAGCCATTATCTTTGTCATTACCCAAGTCTGCAACATCAGAACCAATCTCTACTCTGCCCTCTTTCCCCTACTATCCTACCCAATTAGCTGTTAAGTATTATGGATTCTACCTCTACAATATCTCTCTACTCACAGGACCACCACCCACTTCAGGCCCTAATCACTTCTTGCCTGAGCTATTGATAGCTGGACTCCCAGGTTCCAGTCTCTCTTCGTTCCAACCCACATAGCTGCCAAAATAATCTTGCCAAAGCACAGGTGTGGTCATGGCACTCCTTTGCTCAAAAGTATTCACTAGCTCCCTATTACCTTTATGACAAAATACAAACTCCTCAACTTGGCATGTAAAAACCTTCATAATATGGCTCCAGCCTACATGTCCAGGCTGATTTCACATTATTTTATGCATCAGTCAAACTGGTTTACTTATTCCCCAAATTTATCGTTCCATTTCCAACCTCCAGGACTTTGCAAAAGCTGCTCCCCTGTACCTGAAATGTACTCCCTCCTCACATCTGTGTCTTAGAATCCCTGACTTCCTACAAGACTCAGTTCCTGTGTCATTTCTTATGGTAAATTTTCCTGGTCCTCTTTTCTTCTCTAATTTATTTTGTATTCACTAGTCTATATAAATGTTGTATTCTCCCAGTAAGATGTAGGCTCCTTGAGGGCAGGGAAGATTTCAGTTTTAGCTTCTTGTGCTCCTAGCACACTATGTGGCATATGATGTTTTTAGCTAGGTAGAAAATACCAACATTTGGACTCAATAATAATAATAGTTAGCATTTCCTTGGCACTTTAAAGTTTGCCAGGCACTCTACAAATATTATCTCATTTGATCCTCACAACAGCCCTGGAGAGTAGGTGCTATTATTATCATTCCTATTGTTCAAGTAAGGAAACTGAGGCAGATAGACGTTCAGCAACTTGCCTAGGGTAGCACAGCTAGGAAGTATCTGAAACTAGATTTGAACTCAGGTCTTCCTTATTCAAAATCCAATACTCTATGCATAGTGCCACCTAGCTGTTTCTATGGGCACAGACTTCAAGAACTCGAGGTCACCTCCTTCCCACTTGGAGGTAAAACACTTGGATCTTTGTGGAGGTTTGTACTTTTTTACAAAATAAAAGACATTGAGATAATTAAATAAAGTAGTTACCTTTCTACTCAAGCTATGTGACAACACCACAAAATATCAAAAATGTGA